TCCAAAAAGTATCTTATAGGTTGTCTTAAAAGATGCCTAAAAGATGTCTGAAAAATGTCATATAGGACATTTTAAAAGTGTCTTATAAGATGTCTTAAAGACGTCCTACAGGATGTCTAAAAACTGTCTTAAAAGACGTTTAAAAGACATGTAATATGACGTCTAAAAGACAGACATAAGACGTCTTTAAGACGTCTTAAAGATGTCTTTTAGTAAATCTTTTTGGACGTCCGAAACATTTTAAGACGTCTTTTAGTCGTCTTTAAGACGTTTTATTGTTCACTGGGTAGGTACTAAACATTCTTAACTTTTATCTTTTTAACTAGCCACTACCCAACCCTGCTAATACATAAAAATATTTTTTAATTATACGAATCTGACATTATAATTTTCCGGATTTTCTCTGTTCTGAAGAAACGAAAGTTCCCGCGGTGCGGCGCGGCGCGTCGCGGCGTCGATCTATCGAGACTCGATAGATCGGTCGATCGGCGAGTCCGAGCCGAAATGGCGGCCGCGCAGTGGTACGTAGCAGCGCAGGGACTGGCCGTATAAGCCGTATTGTCCCGCGGCCCGCGGGTCAACCGATCGCCGCTTTCGTATCCGATGGCAGTCCCGAGCGATGACGCGATGGTGAATAGCACGGCCGCAGACGCCTCGGGACGGCTCGTGGGCGACGAGTGCCGCATCTGCCTCAAGTCCTGCACGGAGGCATGCCAGCTCTTCCGCGACGGCGGTATATCGGAGAAGCTGATGGCCCTCGCCGCCGTGCAGGTTAGCACTCTCTTCTCCTTTCTCGCTTCCAGTCCTCTTTCGCAGCCTTATCTCGGGAACGAAGAAAGCCGCGACACTTGAACACTTCGCGTCTGCATTTCTCCGCGTCGCACCCGCGCTCGATGTTCTCGAACCCGCGTTCGGGTTTTCGGAGGATTTCTACCTGTTTCGCGCGTTGGATACTCTCGATACCAACAACGCCGTTGTTTCGACTGGAGTGACTAGACGAGTGTTGTTCTCTGTTAACGTGGACGTTTTCCTCGTCAATACAGAATTGACAGGGGTTTTTCGGAGCCAGGAATCGTTCGGGGGAATATATCTCGCGACCGTTTTTCTTTATTTCAATGTAAACTCGATCGCACAAGAGTAATTCTGCTTTACAATCTTGCAAACTTTAGCTTCTTCCTGCGATGTAAACAATGACACACAAGCTGCAATGTTGCTAGACATATATGTATATATACAGTGACACGTATATACATGTATATATATGTTTTATTCCTCTTTCACAAAATAATAATTTTGCGATACGAAGCTATTGTTGAGAATTTTTTTTATAAATTGCAGGTGGAGGAAGGAGACGGTCTGCCAGCTTATATCTGTTTGGCTTGCAATCATTTGCTTGACGTGTCCTACGACTTCCGATGCCAGATTCAGAATTCCGACGTGAGGCTACGGCAGATCCTGAAGCTACAGGTTCAGCCTATGCTGCAAGATAAACATGCGAAAGATGCCATGATAATCAAGGATATCGCAGATGCCGTATCCGACGTAGTGTCTTGTAAAAAAGATAATCACGTCTTAGAGCAGGATATTTATGTCTCGTCTCATGATATTGTTATGTTCGACAGTACTGCCGTTCAGTCTGATGCGGTGATTAACGATGAATCTCACATAAGTCACAAGTTTATGGAAAAGACGGAGGAAATTGTAGAGCCAAGTGAAAAGGATGCGCTGCTGCATGTTAAAGAGAATGTACATAACGAGGTAATTCAAGTGTCCTTGTGTCATGAGGCACATATGGATGATGCGATTGCCGATCATTCGGATCGACTGTCCAGTTCAACAACAGAGGACAGATGCGTCAAGCAAGAGGAATTGATGATACCTGAAGATAATGAGACATCGGGAAACTTAATGGACGAAAATCGGGAAGACACATTGAAGATTGAAGTTAGGAATGACATGTTGGAGAACTTCAATGACCACGACGTGACGAAGGAGATGCTGGAAACGGACAATCAGGACGCGAAAGGCGTCGCGAACTGCAGCGACGACGAGGAGAAGCCGCTCATAAGCAGGACCAGACAGAAGTGCCTGTACTGCATCAAGTCGTTCGCGACGAAGGTGGCGTTGCAGCGGCACATGAACGTGCACAAGCACAAGACAAAGCTGCGTTACGTGTGCGTCGTGTGCGACAAGCAGTTCTCGAATATCGACAAGTTGAAAAGCCACATGCTCACGTGCCACGAGACCCAGGCGACCCAGGATGGTAAAGCGACGCAGGACGACAAGAAGGTGAATAAAGTGTCGGCGAAAGTCACTAGAAGCGGCAACCATGTGGTGGTGGTGGACGGCACGAGGGAGGAGAAGAAGAACTTCAAGTTCACGTGCAAGGTCTGTGCGAAGCAATTCATATATCAGAAATCCTTTGTGTCTCACGCCAAGAGCCATCCCGAGTACAATATGGACAACACCGAGGACGTGCACGATCAGTCCGCGAATAATATGACGAGCGAGCAGAAAGAGAGGATGCCAATGTTCAGGGAAAACGAGTCCGAGGAAGAGGAGGAGGAGGAGGATGACGACGACAGTGATTTGCCGATCGAAAGTTTACAGTGTACTCAGTGTGGCAAGCTTTTCGCTACGAAGAGGAATCTGAAGAGGCACATCTCGACGCATAGCGGCTTGAAGTTCAACTGCTCGACGTGCGGGAAAGGATTTTCGAGGATCGACAAGCTGAAGGATCACGAGCAATCGAAACACAAAGAGGAAATATTCGGCAACACCGACGACGAGGACGATGACGAGGAGGATAACGAGAGCAAAGTCAACGAGAATTCCGAGAATCGAAAGAAGGCGAGTTTATTTTCTACGGGTTCTATATATTTATTATATTTGTTTAAAAATATTCATGGAACGATTATGTTTATTACAATTCTTGTGCATGTAATATATGATAATTAAAATTAAGTTACGTCAATCACATTTTTATTTCCATAAAAATCTGCATCTCTAACAACAACTGCAGCTCTAACTGATTTGTTTTCTCGTTGCAGGACCGACACAACAGGCCGCACAAGTGCGCGCTCTGTCCAAAGGCGTTCGCGCAGGCTCAATCTCTGGCAAACCACGTGGAGAGGCATAAACGGGTAAAGGACACGCAGAAACGGTTTCTCTGCGAGAAATGCAGCAAATGTTTCGCTCAGAGTGGCTCGCTGGTGGCGCATATGCGCACGCACACCGGCATCAAGCCGTACGTGTGCAACGTGTGCGAGCGTGCCTTCACCAAGAGCACGTATCTGCAGCTGCATCTGCGAACTCACAGCGGTGAGAAACCGTACATCTGCCAGTACTGCAGCAGGGCGTTCGCCCGGGCCAACACCCTGGCGCGGCACATCACGATGCACACCGGCGAGGCCAAGTATCACTGCAACATCTGCACCAAGTCCTTCCGACGGTTGACCTCGCTGAACGAGCACACGTACACGCACACCGGTCAACGGCCGTACGCGTGCAAGCTCTGCACAAAGAGGTACAATAACGCCGGCTCGCTGTACGCTCACACGAAGAAGTGCAGGGCGCAGCAGTTGTCCAGCTCGACGACGACCGCGTTCGCGGTGTCCACGGCGGACAGCGCGCCGCAGCAGAACGACGCGTCCATGCCCCAACTGCTGATCTATTCCCAGAGGAAGTTGGAAGAGGCGACCGTCGGTCAGGTCGTGTCCACGCCGCAGTACATGGTAACAAATGTGCACAATCAAAAAACGGTGCCAGCCAACGTGATCCAACCGTTCACTGTCGAGGACCCGAATGTGTATAATTCAAAACAGTTTAAGAACTCGTATTACGCTATTTATCCAAACATGCAATAGTGCGTCAATGCGTCAATCACGTCCGATTGCCGAATTGATTGTCTTCGCCCAGTGATTTTGTTCCATATTAAAAATTACACTGACAATCTGAGATATTACGATACGAAGAAAGAATCGGGAAAGAGAGAGATGAACAATGTTCTGTCAGTGGATCTAGGAAGCTCAAGAAATATGTTAAATAATGCAGTGTTAAATAATGTTTAAAATTGCTTACTATACATGGAGAGAGAGAGAAGAGATTTTGTGACTAATTCGAAAGTCGAAGATTGAATTCATTAACAAATCAAAAACATATTTTTCATTTGAATATGAAAGATTTCAATCTATTGATTAAGAGTTATAGTATACACGTTACTATGAAAGAATTCGCCGAATGGCGCTTATCTTTGAATATCGGACATGTGAGTGCAGTAGTGTTTCACGGATGACTCAGGTTATAGAAATTAGAAGGTCTCGATATAACAATGTACAAAATATAATGAAAAAGAATGATGTTGAAATTAAAAGAAGTTAGAGATATCGGTAATCTACATAAAATTTGTATTAGAGGTACGCAAATCGCAAGGTTTTTTTGACGATGAATTGAATTGAATTTTCCTTTATTCGAATCCGAATCGGACAAAATTCTATCCTAATCGAATCTTTGAAACATAACTTGTAATTAACAACATAATTATTGTTAAGTTGAATTTTAATTACAAGGTGTTCCTTAAGTGTACTCGTACATTGCCATACTCAAGGAGGCAATTCTTTGGTGTTTTCTTAGATTCGAAATTTTTTAATAGTTCGGATTCGAGTCATAGAGATTCAAATCCTAATCGAATTGAATCGTACTTGATTCGATTCAATTCGATTCGTATTTAAAGAGCATCTCTCTAATTTGTATAAATAAATTCATGGGCATGAAGCTAGAATGACTGGACTGATTCGTATTATTAAATGAAAAGAATAAGATTTAGTAAATATAATCTTGATTACGTTATGTTATTAACTTAGCTTTGAATGTGTCAAACAAAGGGCGATATATTTCCAAATAATCTGAAATAATGTAAATAATAAAAAAATATATATATTTTTGTAATATCTACACGTTGCGTTATTATTAGGAAAATACTACCGATTTTAAACCTGTTAAAATTGAATACTTATAAAATTGAAGAAAATAACGTTTTATACGTAAAGATTACACTCAAGCAATTTAAAATATTAGATTGAGATGTTACATTAAATTAAGTAATTTATTCTCAATTTTCTTTTTTTATTTAGATTTTACAAATAGCATTGATAATATATATTCTATACTATAGTGAGAAAGGGAGAGAGAGAGAGATTACTTGGAAATCTGTTTTTGGCTTCGTTCCGATATTCACTACAAGTACTGAAAATCTATTCTACATAAGTCACAAACGCACAATGCGGAGAAAAAAAAGAACGAAACGTCAAAAAATAAAAGAAAAGAAAGAGAGAAACGTCCGCGTTTGCGTTTGCGTTTTGCATTTGCGACTTATGTAGATGGGGCTTAATATACGTCACATGCATTATAAATTTTCAACACTGACAGTGAATATCGGAACACAGTCTTTGATAGCTTCAAATTCCTGAAATTTGTTGTAATATTAGATTTTAGTCAGTCCAGTTATTTTTTGTTTTGACCACGAATAGATTATATTGAATAAGTATATTGAATAAATAATTATATTTAAATAGTTCTTTGGTTAGAGATTATATGTCTTAATTGTCTTAATCATCCATAAATGTCTCATTGTTTAAAAATTGAAATGACACGTCCCTTTAAAATTAGTTTTTTCTTAACGATAATTTTGTAGAAAATTAAAAAGAAAAATTAATTTAATGTTTCAATATTTAACATTAAATAATTTGATTAAACTTAAAAAATAAAATATCTTTCAAGATTTATATATGCCAACTAAATTAAAGAACGAAATTTTGTCTCGTTGAGAAAGAGATATTAAAATCAGAGAATTAAAAAAAATTAGTTGTTTAACTTTAAGAGGATGCTAAAGCCGTCTGTTTTATCGACAAAAATACCATTTTTGTTGGATACAAAACACTTCGTATTAATCGCATAGAATAAAATTTCCTTTTCCACGATTAAAACACACATGCTAATGCATCTAGCTCTGGTGCATTTCGTACCAAAAACGGGAAAAAATGAAATAATTATAACAGATTTCGTTATCCATTTTAACCTCAACATGGCGACAAATACTATCAATTTACCAAAACGTTTACTTCGTGAAAAAGTTAGGCAGGTTATACGCTCGAAATGAAGGCAGAGCCAGATGTACAATAAAGAAATGAATATAGGTGAGTCGTTAAAATCAAATTTAGAAGTCTAAATAAAGTACATTTGTATCCTACAAATTCGTGTATATGTATGCGTGAGATATATTGATGTGGAATAAACATGACACATCACTACACACTACTACATCAATATCGCACGCATACATACTCACAAATTGTCGGTAAAACAGCGGATTTTTGGAGTTTGATCTAGGATTTAGGATCCTCTTAAATAGTGTGATAAGACAGTCTCGATAATAGTAGTATATTAGAGATAAAATTCTTAGCGTGAAGACTGGAATACTATAGATTATATTATTAAAATAAAAATAGATGATAATGAAATTATCTATTTGGTATAAAAAAAATATTTTCACTGAAATTACTGTTAATATTAAATACGTCCGGTGAAAAATTAATTTTCCATTATACTTTTATTATATTTATGTAAAACGATGATCGATTTTCGTATAATGTTTACAAAAATGTAGTAATGTACAGCATATTCTGAAAAAGATTGAATATAAATATATATATATATATTTGTAAATAATTTAAAATATAAATTATATTGCGTCTTTGTGTAAAAGTAGCGAATGAGACTTGCCCCAAAGTGACTTGCTTATACTTTTACGCACATGGCGAATGTCGGAAAAGCTAACAATGCAATATTTTATAATAAAGTTTATACAAAAATAACCGTATGTGTGTCACATGTTTTTTTCTTAATTCGCTTATAAAAATAATTACATATTTATCAATTAATAAATTTATGAATATAATTTATAAAATAATGAAATGTCTAAAACTAATTAACATAAATACAAAGATTTAAAAAAAATACTAAACTTTTGTCAATATTCTTTCATTTATATATATTTTTTATCAAAATTCGACTTCATTTTATTTTAAATTTATGGACAAGATATAACCAATAGCATTTTCTCTTTAACTTATTCAGTGCATTTTATTTAAATGCATTTTTAAATCTTCTGATTTATAAAGTAATTGAACTTGTTTGAAAAATTTCAAAGCATATATGCGATATAATGTATACAAAATATGTCTTTTGAATAATATTCTCGTTCTCCCATAAACATGATTGCGGAACATAACATTTTCATTCGTTCTATCAAAACTGGAAGCATCTTAAGCTCAACTTATACGTACTACTTGAACTGTAAAGCACCGTTTATGGATTTCCCCCGTTTATGGAGACCCGTGGAAAAATCGTTAATTCCCGATGTACTAGCTCGCATGAAAGAAAAATGATCGCCCGCTGTGTTTTCAGGCGCGGAAATATTAAATTGTATTCCTGCGGGTCTTCGCGCGGGGGCCGAAAGGCGATGCGCTGGGCCGCGGAGGGTGTCCGAGAGATCACTAACCAATATTTAATCAACTTTGCAGGAGAGAATATTATTCTCCGGACAAATCAAGGACATATGTATCAGACCGCCAAGGGGAGAGGCCGACACGTTCGTATTGATATCAAAGACACACACATCGTGTGTACGCGCGTTGCCCCTTCAGCGAACAATGGCGTAATTTTGACAATGAGAGCAAAAGTACGAGTTTTCTTTTGGAAAACTTTTCTTTGGGGGAAAATTATAAAATTTTATTGTCTTTAATTAAACCTATCATAGATTTGGATAATATTTGAAATTGAAAAAGAAAATAAATGCGAATAAAAAAGAGAATAAATATATTTTTTTATGACACGTGTGCGAAATATTGATGATTCATTCGTATTTGAGAATTGTTTATTTAGAAGGATTATTCAGAAGGATGTAAATAAGTGCATTTTATAATTTCACAATGTATAAGTATGTTATTTGCTTTAACTAAGCTTTTCTTTCGAGTATTTCAAGTATTTTTTTAAATTACATATTTTTGCGTTGATTCATCTTTTATTTGCCAACGGAGAGGCTCTGCTTCCGGCAGCATCGACACGACGTCTCGTTCATTATACACAGAATTTATTCAAAAGGATACGCCTATGTAGAGTTTGGTAGTGTGCGTCGCCCGGAGATGTGCACGATGGCAGCGTGCGACACACGTTCCGCGTGCCGGGAGCAGGAATCCCCTGGGATAAGATTCAGGAAAGAGGGTGGAACACCGCGACTGCTCTCATCGTGGCGCGCGCGCGCACACACACACACACACACACACTCTCTCTCTCTCTCTCTTTCTCGTGAGAACAAGTGCAAAACAAATGTCGCACAGGAGCCAGTCGACCGATGCGCACCACCGTGCCATGCTCGTGAAAATTGTTTCTCTAGGTCGAAATAAATCATATTTTCCCTTGCCCCCCTATTATCTTACTCCGCGCGAAAGACGTGAGAAATTTCAATTCGTTTGGGTACTAGGGTGCAGTCTTAGTTCGCGTGAAAAATTTGAAATATGCAGTGCATCCCAAAATTATCGTATTCCTTTATAATAGTTTCATTATTTGATGAGTTTAAATTTGATGGAGTAGATTATATTTAATGAACCTTTTCTTCACAAATCAGATGGAAATAATAATTCTACGCCATAACTTTTTAATTTTCAATTTAAACTTTTTATACTTCGACTATTAAAACTTGCATAAAATTTCTGTTAGAGTAAAGTTTAAGGATAAAGATATCATAAGATATTTTTGTTAATGAAACTAGTGAAAAACAATGAATTTTTTATACATGATTTTTTAAAAAGATCACGCAGAGTATTGACTATAATATAATGTGAATAATTTCATCACGAAATTTATTCAATTCAAACAATAATTATTAACTGAAAGAGTATAACAAATCATGGAAAGATTTTATACAACATATGATTTGTTTTTTTTTTTTAATTAATTTGAATTAAAAGTGTATTATTGTACCTTGTATGGCATTTTAAATTATTTTCGAATATTACAGCCTATGTATATTTTCTTGTCTATTTTTCTGGAAAGCAGATGAAAAATCTTATTAGAGAAATAGTCGTTTTACAAATAATAACGAAAAACTTACAAAAAGGGTTAATGAAGGATCTAGGAGTATATTTTTGTGATATAAATACTTTTGTAATACAAAATAATAAAATTATCGATTCAGTTTCTCATTATATATATCTGTTATTTCTGAGGATACTTTCAATCTTTAATTTTCATCTAAACCTATATAATTTAGTAATGAATTGATGCAATAAGAAATTTAAAGTAACAAATTAGAAATACGCTTTGAATATTAGAACAGCCGAGTGTTTACAAAAATAATTTTCCACTGTACATATGCATAAAAAAAAATTAGATCGATTTCTGGTTGATAAAAAAACTTGATCTTTCTCTCTTCCACAATATCTATCACTAATGTTGAGACCTTTATAATTTTAGTGAGCTTAGTGAGTTCTCCATGCGACGGACATGATAAAATATGCGCCAATTATTATATTTTTACTTTATAACATTAAGATTATCGTATTGTTACTCTCACTAAAATTCTAGCAGTTTCAATTCATAATGAAAAATATTAAATTGGAAGAAAATAACATTTCTTCTTAACAATTTTATTAAAGAAATCACTTTTTTAATATAGACTTAGAGTTACAGTAATTACCATATTTTTAAGAATTACATTAATTCTTAAGAATACTTTTTCTGCTTTGTGAATAATATTCTTTACACTTATATTTGACAAATATTTTTAAATTTATGATTTTTATCATTGCTAGACTTTTCTTCATCTAAAAAAAATACATCTATCAATCCGATAAAAATAAAACGTATAGAACAAATTCTGTTTGATGTAATGTTACTGCTTGAAATAAATAAAAAAATTGCTTTACGGCAATTAATATGTAGATTAAATTTGTGTTAAAAAACTGATTCCAAGGGCGAATTCACACCTTGACAGAAAAGCGGAAAACAGAAAAGCAGAAGCCAATCAGAACTCGCACTGGTAGCAAGAAAAGCAGAAAGCAAAAACTATTGACTACCAACGCGAGTTTTGATTGGCTTCTGCTTTTCTGTTTTCCGCTTTTCTGTCAAGGTGTGAATTCGCCCTAATACACATTTAATGAACCTGTTAAGAAGCGATATTATATATTTTTTGTCTTTCTTCATCTTTTGCTTCTTTTTTTTCTTGCTCTTTGATTTAATATTTAACGGTCAGGATATATGACCAGTTGAGTTTTAGCGTCGGCACGCGACACGAATAATCCGGCCTGTGTGACATCCTTCGCACGGCTACGGCACGGCACGGCACGCAGATGTAAACGCAGCTCCGAGCTAGGATCTTCGCCGCGGATACGGGACGCGACGCAGCCTCTTGCAGACTCCTCGCGTCCACTGGAGCAGCCAGAGCCAGGACACAGCAGCAGCGTCCTTCGTCGCCGGCGTCTCTGCGCGCGGGATCGATCGTAAAGCCGCGAAGGTGGGGCGACCGACCGGAGGGGCGCGTCATCGAATGATAGCACTCATTCGGGCTGATGGCCGTTTGGGGAAGAGGGTTGTCTGGTCCGTAACTCGGGGGTGGCCCCCGCGTAAACCTCGAGAGGGGTGGAAGTCGGTATCGCCGACACGGGGCGGCGTTTCAACCCCCGTTCTCGTCACAGGGATGGTTCTGCCGCCGGCGAATCAGCTTCCGCACGGCGAACCCCCCACGAAATTCTGCAAGCTCTGCGAGTCAACCACGGCCACACCCACGCTCCTACCCGCGCGGCACTGGCGGTTATTGAATTAAGCTTATCATTTGATTTTGAGGAGACCCACCAGTCGGTCGTACGGGGCGCTCTTAAGCGGGCCGGAAAACTTCTTCCTATCCGCGGTGTAATCGCAATAATTTGATATCGCTGATCCGATTACGCATCATAAGCCGCTATCGAGGAACCCAACCGGCGGCGGCCCGGCACGATTCCCGGTCTCGCTGAAGCGTCGCCGACGAGAGAGCGGCGTGCCGCTCCTACCGCTCGCTCGTCTACCCGGGTCTTACCCGCGGACGAACGGGCCCGAAAGCGCATATACCTACGTGGGTACAAACGGGCCCGGATAAATCGCGCTGCTCACGTGACCTTTTAAATTTCACATTGCACTTGTCATCACATTTAACGCGTAACGAGTGTCTTTTTTTTCTCTCGTAAAGTATTGTACCTATATCTCCGGTCAACATCAACGTGTTAAACGTCGTGACTTTTAATGGCCCGCCGTTGATTCTTTCACGAGTGCGTGTCATCCAAAACTGCAGTCACAGGCGTGTTTGCCTTTTATTGTGGAGCGGAGTGCGAAGAAACGACTCTCCAAGTCGTCACGTGCCATCGGAGTAACGCAAAGTGGAGATTTACTTGCAGTCAAGCCAGCGGCATTATGGACTACTCGTATCTGAATCAGGCCGCGGCCGCGGCAGCGGCCGGCTTCGAAGCTTCCAGCTGCGCCTTGGCCGCCGGCGAGATGCAGTGCAGTTACGGAGACCTGAGCTCGTGCTCGCAGATGAGCCAGGCGGCTTACCGTTACACCGCGGCACGAGCCGCCGGATATCCCGGTAACGCGGCAGCGGCCGCGGGTGCCGCGGCCGGTGGCACGCCGCTGACGGCCCATCACACCGCGCACCCCCATGCCCACGCGCACCATGGGGCCCACTCGACCCCCTGCTCCGTAATGGCCGCCAGGTCCCAGGAAGTCCATCGGCACGCTGCCTCCATCTTCCCGTCGGCTATCAATCTTCAGAGTGAGTGACGTTTGAGCGTATAATTTTTCAAGCACTTGATTGTTTCAGCTATTAATTAGCGTACACTTTCGGGTAATTTCCGGATTATGAAGTAATTATTAAATCTGCAATTGCTACGATGGAATCGAAATCCAAATGTTTTATCAAGTATTAATAAAAATTTAATGTCTGACATTTATTTTTTAGACAATTGATTTTATTTATAGCCAATTAATTCTATCGCATCAAATTTTAAAAGGAGATTTTCATCTAGAAAGCGATTTTCAGGATTAAATTTTATTAATTTTTTTTATGAAAAGCTATTAAATATACATAGAAATTTAAGATATTTATTTTTAAGTATATTTTTATTCATGTTTAAACTGTATGAATACATTTTTGAACGTTTCTCAATTCAATATTTTTGAAGTTATAAACCACTATACGCATTCTATCTTAAAATAATTGTCAACATAATTTTGTGTGTGTGTAAAGGATTTTGTCCATCTGAAACAAACGTAACTATTAACAAACTTTTAATATATGTAAATGTCATTTTTGTCCGTACTTATAACATCAAGTCAATATCTTTACAATTTATATTTTTTTTTACTAAGAAAAAGAGGACAACTTCTTAAAAAATTAGAATTTTATGTTTACAGAATCGCCACTTTCTTAATACAATGTTCACAAATTCATAAATCTTAATACAACTTTCTAGTATGGACGAACGCAACATTCATATAGTAGATTAAAAAGATTTTGTTGATTTGTTTATTTTGAATAGATAAAAAACATCTAATCATGTCCACCATTATTTAAGTTGGGATATACACAACGGTTTATAATTTTAAGAGTATTGATCTTATTGTTAGACAATTTTAAAAATTTATACATATATAGTTTAAACTGAATAAGTATGTACTCAAAATCTTAAGTTTTTATATTCAATAGCTTTTTTTTTTTAATTATGAAATTTACCTTGAAAATCGCTTTCTACGCCAGACTCTCCCCTTAATGATAAAATCTTTAACTTTGGTGTCGCCTTTTCTTTAATAAATGATAAGATGTCGATATTTTTTGAAATGATGCATAACTAACTGAGGAACTTTTTTTGTATTAAAATTTGATTACGTAAATAGATATTCAGGTTTCATTCTTTATTTAATTTCAACGAAGCTACTCAAACTCTTTGATTTCACATTTAATTAAATAAAGCTTTTAATTATTGGAAATAGAAATGTTGATGCATAATTTATGATACGAAATATTCTCTTCGACAAGAATTGACTTCATAAATTTAGATAATTTGTTATTAAAACAAATAATTATAATTATTCAAAAAGTCACGTACATATTTGTATCTAAAAACAATGTATGCTGTCATATGCCCGTATATTATAGTATATGTATTTTACTATGCAAGAAACATTTAACTTCAACTTAATTAAAGAAGGTATCATAAAGTATTATAAAACATTACAAAATTATTAGAAAACTTATTACATATAATTATCTAATTGTTTAATAACTATTTAAAACATCTTATTAAATGCAGATATAATTTATTACTATCGATTATTTATGCAGTCGAATCTCGATAACTCGAATCTCAAGGAAAAACTATAAAAATCTTCGAGTTATAGAGGTTTCGATTATCAAAGTTTAAGTAAAAGAGAGTTAACATATGAAAATTCGACTTACAGAAGCTTTGTACGAGAGTTTATAATTTTTCGATTATAATAGCTTAAAGGAAAAAAGTTTGAGTGTTTTACAAGTTATAGATATTCGAGTTATCGAAGTTCAACTATTGAAATATCTAATCTGCGACTTTGAGTTTCTTTGTCTTGTTTTAAATGGCTCAAGTCAATAAATATAGAAGTTAATAAATAATACCGTATATTAACGTCGACACGTTATTGTATATTAAGATTATCAATAAGCTGTAATAAATAATTCATAATTCCGACTGTAACATGGCTTAACAAGAGCTCCTTTATCCTCGCGTCAATCCGTCGGTCTATGAACGTGCGACGCTTTGTTATGTTTGTTCCGGCGATTTAGAAGGGGCTAAACATGTCACACACGAGCAGGGAGCTTAGCTCCCTTCGTCCTAGTTGATAATTGATCTCGATTGAATTCAACATCACACATGTTGTTTCGACGTGCAGGCGCGCGCAAGAATGTCACGCAGTATATTATGCAACGTAGTATATGTCATGCTTTAATTAACGTTTTATGAATTCACCGCGTAGGAACCAGAATTATAAATACCTACCAAACTGTCGTAAGGATATATCAGATGTGATATCAGTCGTACAAAGTAAAAGCCTTCCACGGATATACATATCTTCATAATTATTCAAGGATTTTTGCAAATTAAATTATATTTAATCCTAATCTGAAAGCGTGAAATTTTAATTATTTTGATGTGATAATTTTACATAGGAGTAATAGTTTTAAAGTATATAGAACATAAAAATATATACTTTTTCTCGTTGAAAACAAAGATATATGGAATTATTATCGCAGGAAATATTAATTGCTTCCCGCTAATTCGTTCCTGCTGATAAAATTTTAATATTAAACAAATAATTGCAAGTGCAATATATTCCCGTCATAAACGTTACATTTACCGTTATTGCTATAATTATCATATTTTTGTTACTTTATCTTTCAATGTATATAAAGATTGTTTTTTTCATATTTATGATGCGAGAAGATAAAGATTTTTGTTTTCTTTAATGCGTTTTGCACCACCGTGTTTTAATTGTAATTCATTTTACTATTATTACATTATTATTGTTATTGTTATTGCCGCTGCAATATTAAATAAAAGATGAAAATTTCAAAAATTATCCTTTAACACTATATTGCAATTATTATTTTTACCTTTATTGACGTTTTTTATATCTATAATTTCAGGCGGTTTGGGATATAAGGCTTACTCGGGGCATGATGGCCTCGCGGAGAAGAGAAAACAGCGTCGGATACGAACGACATTTACGTCGGCCCAACTGAAAGAATTGGAGCGTGCATTCCAGGAGACGCATTATCCAGATATCTATACCAGAGAAGAAATCGCTATGAAGATCGATCTGACGGAAGCTAGAGTGCAGGTTAGTCTATTCTCTTTAAGTTCTACCGCAATTAAGTCTTTTTTTTCTAAAATTTTACGTTAAATTAGCACTTTCTACACGATATTTCTTGGTGCAACTGAAAGTTTGAATGTAATTATAACTCATAATTATATCTACACATCAATCATCAATATTGTATTACATACAATTGAATATGATATTTCTAAAAGTCTAATAGCGTTAATATAGAATACTTAAGAACTGAACATTTGCGCAATATAAGCAACACAATAATTGAAATAATTTTTTACGGCCATTATAAGGAAAGAATATTTTTTCTTGGATTGTACATATATAAAATTTTGCATTGCATATCGCATAGTTTGTTTCATCCGCGTAAAGAGAGGATTGTTGACGGAAAGTTGAGGGTGAGTTCGCAGAAGGAGTGTAGTGTAATTACATTACAGACTCCATTTTCGTTTTCATGGCTACCTGCAGGTCGTAAGCTGATGGATTATACTGTCTAATACGCATGACGGATTATCATGAACAAAAGATAAACGACGTAAGAATTGTACAAACATTACTATAAAATTATTTCTCTTACGTTACGTTACGCGAAATTACGCTTACATAATATTTTCGAACTCTTTTTCGCCGTTAAAACGAGCAAAAATGTAACATTAAATGACGACCGACAATCCTTTTTGTGAAAAAATTTCACTTGTTAGATAGATTTTATTTATACAAGATATAATTCTCGAAAATTTGATTTTAACATAATTGGGGACTGCACGAAACGAAATGTGAGAACAATTCCCAATTTACAGCTTTAATTGGAGATAAACATGTTAAATATTCTTAAATGTGACAACTGAGTCCGGGAAAATTATTCTCGTTTTGCACGATTTAATTTACATCATTTTCGAGTTATTATACGTGCATAAATCAAAATGTATTTTTATATGACATGAATGTTTTCAAACTACTAAAACAATCCTTAGAAATGCTGGTCTCTTTAGAATATTTTAAGTCTACTTTTTCTGAAAAATTGACTTAAGAAAACTGCGCCACTTACAATTATTTAATTTCCAAAGTAATAATAAATATTAAATATTAATAGTAATTATTAAATATTCTAGTTTAATTCTTATCTCGCGTTATATTAATCGCAGTGCTCATTCTAACTAAACAAATAAACTCAACAAGCAAATAAAACTCAAAATCAAACAGTCTTATTTCATAATAAATTTGCAATAAGAATATGAATTTAAATATTGTGTGTGTAGCTAGATATTAATTAAATATTGTAAATTCAAATTTAATAAAAATCATTTAATGCAAATAAATAATAAAATTCTTCAGTCTATTTTGTACAAATAATAATTTAATTTTGTTAAATCATATTTGTACAAAATAGACTGAATTATATTATTTATTGAGCATTTATTTGTATAACATGAATTGATTATCAACGACATCACAGAATAATCGCCATTTTCATTTTTTATCGAACACTCATGTATATAGTAAAATTACATCATGTAAGATAAATTTACACGATCTCTTGGAAACAGGCATGTAATTAAGATCGGGAGCTATCTGTCACAGCTTCCTCGTCGATTTCCCTCTACTCGTTTCTCGTACACATCCATGACGTTACCTGCTCGCGGTAGGACGCAGGTGTCGCGGGAAGGACAGGTGAGGTACATGTACGGTAACGCGATTAGACAGCTCTCCAGACGCTAACGGGTCCTAAAGTTAGACTTCCCGACTGACGTGCATCACTTAGCGCCGCCGAAGTACCTCCTCGCCGAATTTCATTCAGATTATCTAGCGCGCGGACGAGAAGTGCGGACGATTTCATTGGTTTCGGGCTTGGAGGAGAGAGCAATAAATTTAATCTTATCTCGGAGACACACACACACACACGTAGGCGCGGATTAATATAACGCTCGCCATCGACGATCGCGATATTATTACACGGCGAGATTAGGGATGGCGATTCGACGACTGTGGAACCAAATCGCTCGCTATTTGCGGCGACGACTTGATATTCCAACGCGTATAATCCACTTTTGCACGATGAGCGCGATTATCTTGGCGACGGCAAGTTACTTAAGCTGCCGTTAACCCCTTGACCCTACAGCCCTAATCATTGCAGCTGTGTCGATCAGAATATGAAAATCTAAGTGGTTGTTTTGGTTGTATTTATATTATAAGTTCGATTGAACTTGATATTTTCTTCTGCGAAATCTCATCTTTATTAATTTCCTAAAAAGACTGGTATTTATTAATATTGTTAATAATATCAAAATTATTTACACATATTATAATTACATATGTACATATATAGGTAGATATATATATATATATTTATTTATATAAATATATAATTATATACTATTATGTATACATATTATATATAATTATATAATCTAATTTATATCTACAATAGATTTTGTTTGATTATTATATATACCTATTGCACAATATTTGATTAATCCATACTTCGATTATCTATAATATCTTTTTTGTGTTTTCTTATATTTTTGTAATCTTCTTTTTATGTATTTTTAGTAGCTTGATATTTTAAATAACGCCAGGAAGATGTCAAGTTACATATAGAGTTTTATTATTCAAGGTTAAGGCAAGCAAAATTGTACATGCTTGATCATTCGTCATGTCATAATATTGTTATGATTTACAACTTTTTATTTGTAATTTTGTAACTGTATAATAATGTTATACATATTATAATTAATAAGATATTAAGAGAAGGATATAAGAAAATGTATTTAAACAAAAACAAACTCTTTATTATTTTGATACTATTGAGGTTCATTAAATTAGTCCATTGAAAAATTGCGAGTCAAAAATAATTCTCAATGGTCTTTGAACTTTCTAAGTGGAAATAAAGCTATTCAATCTATCTTGAGAAGTGAGAGGAGTAACCATTTCTGTGATGCCGATATCCGGCATAAAAGCTGCGTATTTTATTTTTACGAATTCCTTTCATGTAAAGATTTGCATACATTTTTTCAATATTTTTAAATATCTTATAATCTCTCGTAATATCTTATAATATCTTGTATCTTTAAATATCTGTTTAAATCTTCTTTTCTCTATTCCTCACTTTTTCTTTTGTGATTTCTTCTCTTTTCTTTTCTCTACTAATGCTTTTTTTATTCCTGTATTTATATGCTATTTTTTTAAATGTTTTACATGACTAAATAATTTCTATTCTATTTTTTTACATATAAGGCAAATTATGAATCTTCTTTTTAATTTAATTTAATTTAATTAAGTATCTTTGGACAAAAAGATAATAACGATTAAAATTGGCTGAAAAGGTATTCTTACAAATGTTGGTAATCTTATCTATGCCAATTGTGCACCATCGAACGTGTTCGCGTATCATGAACGAGGACCGCGCAATAATGAAGCGCGAGATAACTATTAATACTCTAGTAGTTTGCGGGTTCGCGGCGCGACCGCCATCTCTGGTGAGGTTTATCCTCCCGCGGTGGGGTAAGTCCTTTGTCTGCTCGACTTTGCCCTCCTCCATTCTGACAGGACGTACGGTCCCTCAAGAGTTTCCTCGTCCCTTCATTCGTGATTCGTTCGTTCGCTGCTGCGAGTTATCCTACCCCCGGCTGTCTTCCAACCCTCCGATTCAACCCCTGCGTCCCCTCTCGCCTTCATCCCTCTCAGCCCTCCATCTCGTCGATGGCGGCTGCTCGATAAAATTTCCTCCCTCTCGCATCGTGAGAGTCATTGGCTTTCTCCGTCCACCCCCCTTTCCCCTCTCCCGCCGCCCCCTCCCGCACATCCTGCTTCCAGGATACTTCCTAATCGGCTGCCATTACTACCCCTATTTTCTCTCGCTATCTATAGTTTCACTTAGCGCGAAGTATAAATTAAGTTACGCAGGAATGTTTCCGTTAACTCTTTTCCTTGAACATTATCTACCATTATTTCTCCTTCTTCATATCTCATTTAAGATACTTCCTAATCAGCTGCTATTATTATCTCTATCTTACCTCTCTACTTTTATTTTCCGTGAAATATAAATCGAGTTATAGGGATATGTGTTCGACAGAGCTTTATCCCGAAAATTGCCTGCCTTCATTTCTTCTTTTTCATATTTTATCCATAATATAGTATAATTAGCTGTCATTATTAATGCTCTCATTACTATTTAGAATTTTATTGTTAGCTTGAAATAAAATAACGTTTTCGACGATTTGACAGAAATCTAACAATAATAAATTAGAGTAAACTTAAATTTTTCACGCACAAAGCACAGAACACTTATTTTATTTTTTTTAATATGATTTTATTTTTTAAAGTCATTATTATATATTCTCATTTTTATATTTATTTAGAACAATATTCTTTATTTATTTATTTATTTATTTATTTCTAGATAATAATTTGCTTAATACTTTTATAAATTTAGTGTAATAATATTACTGTATATACTTATTATTTTTGTTTTGATTATTACATAAATTATAAAATACACTATCTATTACTAACAAAAGATATAAAACAAAATGTAAATATTTAATAGAGATCCTATTAAATATATAAATATAAATGTTATTAAAAATTAATTAAATTTACTCACTGATGTGTATACATAGCTGATTAGTTGCCCCAAGTCCTCAATTGAACAACTACCATTTGACTATGTTTTTGAAATGTTTTCGCGTGTGCTCATTAGTAATAATTTGACATTAATAACATGGCATTTAGTGTGTCTTTTATAGAAATATTATTAAAAGATTCTGAAGGGTCGAAAATGAGACGTACGTTGTTTTTGTATTATTATTACAAAGTATCAAAAATATATGATGAAATAGAACTCAGGTTGAACTTTAATTAATATTAGAACATAATATTATTTACTTACAATTAAAACTAATTAGAATACATATAATTAGAAATAATAACAATGAGTGACTAATACTTATCTAATAAAAGTAATATATTATATTTTGTATTAATAATTACTTTTTTATCTCAAAGTTGTT